ACTCTTAACAAACAGAATTTAATGCACCATGCAATATACAACTGTACTGTTTACTTACTGGACTGTGGGTGGGAATGTTGTTGGACACCCAAAATAATTGCCTGTGATGCTTTTGTTTTTGGTGTGACCAAACAGCTCTCGTTTTCGTGTCGCTTTGCCATCCTCTTATTTTATTTGTTTTGTTTGTTAGCAAAATCGTGATTTACCTCGCCACCTTCATTCCCAATGTTTGTCTCGTTGCGCGCACAGCAGATTTTTTCGCAGTCCAAAGGGTGCATGTACTCTTGAAGATAAGAGCAGCGAAAACAAGTGGCTTTTTCGCAGGTCGAATGGGACAGGCCGGGAGCAGTTTTGTTTTGTTTCATTCCGTGCTGCTTTTCTCTCACCTCCCTTCGTTGGCTCTTTTGTTTTCGGCCGTGATTTATCGCCTTTCAGTAGCTTTTAAATTAAATTTTGGCAAAGCCTTAAGTATGTTTATAGGAAAGTGACAGGTTGAATGCTGTTAAATTGCGTATGCATACGTTCAGTATTTATTTATGTCAAAGCATTAAAAAGTTTTCTAATGTTTTGCATTTTTAAACACAGAATTTTATATTAATTTATATTTAAAATTTGTTCTTGAAAGTTATAACCAAAGATAAGATAACAAAAATGGAAGGGAATTTTTATTCAAAATTTATTACATTCTTTTTATAAAATTAATTAAAATCAAAATAAGTTATTAGGCTACATTAAAACGCTATGCATAATATATTTTTCTCCATGCGTATTTATATTTTTGGCAGAAGTTTTCCTAATAAAATATTTGAAATTTCAATTATTTCTCATGAAATAAAGAAAGGTGCAAAGTTAAGTTGGCGAGGGAAGCTGGAGAGACGTGCCAAACGACACTCTCTGCAGTCCACTCATAATTTGAAGAATATAAGAACAGCAAATCCCATTTGAAAATTTATGTAGAAACCATGCACTTCTTCCGTGTCCCCATTTTGCTAAGCGGAGGTTTTTCCGATCACATCAGCATTTTTCTCCATGTTCAATTTTCTTTCTCGTCATATACAAACAGAAATAAAATTTTGCGTCGCAATAAAGTCTAAGGAAGAGTCTGTTTTCGCGCATAATATTGGCGCGTCCAACTTTTACGAGCGGAAGGAGCGTCGCCCTGTTTGCTCCGCATCTCTTTTGCATGCTGGGGGAAAATCAGCAGTCGGTTCGCGTTTTCTTCCTTTCCCTAACGTGCGTGCCCAAAGCAGCAACGAAATTTGATATCAAAAAAAAAAGTCGAGAACCTCAGTTGACATTTCTCATGAATAAATTACCACACCGTCTGCTTATGTGATATCTGTTTTGTAAGTTTCATTGCATAGCTCACGGATTTCCCGTTTCACATTTTCTGTGTTTAAATTTTCCTCTAACCCAACATTTTTACAAATATTTAAAAAAAAAATATTAATATTTTCCTGCCATGATTTTTTTTTCATCGTGCAGTTCAGTTGGAATAATTTTAAAAATTTGAGCTCCCAGCAGAATCACAGGACAATACTCTGGTGGTGTAAAAAGCCCAAACTCAGCAAAAGCAGGGGTGCAAGAAGGATCCCAGCGGCCGCGATTGTTTCGCTCCAACGCGCGCGTAATGAACAAAAAAGCGTGAAGGCGGATTACGCACTCACAAAAACGGTGACAACAATGTGAGCACGTGCTCCACCGAGATGAATTTCCGCACCTGCTCGCGAAAAATTACATATACGTTTGCCGGGGAGGATTGCGGAGGAAATGCCACTGCTGGTGCAAATGTGAGAGAGCGGCCTGTGGATTTATTTTTGCGTTTCCTCAGCACGTATTCATCACGTCCAGGAAATTGGCAGAGCGTAAATCTCCGGACAGGAACAGCGGCGGCGCCAATTTGTTTCGCTCTCTTAATATGAGATGAACCAGGCGAGATGCATTTTTCATGAACGTTTGTTAGTTTAGGTGTAAAACAATGGTATATATAAGAAAAATTATTGCAAGGCACAATATTAAAATTTAAATAACATTATGTGAGCATTGATCAAGCTGTGTTGTAGCATTTAATTTGAGCGGTTCATTTTTCTGACACTAAACTTATTAAAAAAACATTTTTTTCCATGGAAATATAATTATTTTACATTAGGATTATTAATATAAAATGGATTTTGTTACATGAATTACAATTATATTGTGCAAATATGCAAAAGTTATTAAAAATTAAGGAGTTGTATGGAGAGGCACATCTTATCAGTTCTCAAAACATGATTTCAAAAATTTATTTTCTCTGCATTCAATCAAAACAATGAAGATTATTATTTTTATTGTTATACATATTATCTTACATCAAGTCAATATAAAATCTGCGTAAGAACTTCACAAGTCATAATTTCTTGTGCACTCATACCGCAGTAGTAAAATAAATGGAGATAAAACTGGCAAATTATTATATAAATTTCAATTTAAAAAGAATAGTCTGAGAAAAACATCCTTTAAAAAATTAAGAATCAGTCATAACTATTATAAAAACTGTGTTTTTAATTCGAATAATAAATTAAATTTGCAATCTATCAGCGATGTTTAATGTTATACTTCAATGAATTAGTAATAAAGGAAATTCAAAAGAAAAGAAAACGTGTTACATATTTATTTTTGCAATTTATAAAGCATACCTTTAAATGAAGATGTGTACATATGATTATATGTTTTTTATAATAATAGAAACTAGACATAAAGCATAAAAAATAAATGATACAACTAAAAAATAATTAAAATCACAGATAAGAAAACAAAAATAATAATAATTAAATTTAACGAATTAAAGTCATTTAAAAAAAAATTTATTTATTATTAAAATTATCAATTTTAATAATATAATCAATTAATAAACTTTTTTAAGATATAAAAAAGAGTAAAATATGTTTTGTTCATTGAAGTTGACTAATGGAATCAGTGAAATTCTCTCACCACACAGTGAAAGTTATTATTATGAAGCGCAAATATCTCCATTTTGCTCACATCATGCAAATTCCTATACAGCAAGCAGGCTCTTAATTAGAATTTTGTATTTGTCCATCAACATACGGAGGGATTTCTGGGAAGGTTTGTGGCCAATTAGCGCAAAACTCGTGCAGACAAGAGGGAGAAAGAAGCAAGCTCGCCAAAAAAAGGCTAATTAATTTTTGATATGAAAGCGGCCCATAAATAATGTGAGCGCGCACAAAGCATAGAGAGTCGTTTCGGGCGAATCATTACAACATAAATAAACCTCCGCGGCGCAGTCTCGTTTTACGCATTTAAAATTTAAGTGCCAATTTCGCGTGTCGTTTTGCTCTGGCCGGTCCTCTCGGCAGCTAATGATGCCATAATTTTTATCTCTCGCCGCGCGCAAATCCTGCCCCAGCAGAGAGACAATAACGCCGAAAATACGCACGAATATTGTTGTTTTTGCCTTGTCGGTCGGCCTGGCTGTTATATATAATAGAGGCTTGTGTGTTTTTAATAGAGACGGCGGGGCTCTCTCTCGTAAATAAAGTAGCCCCTGGCCTTCATTAGACCGTCTCGCGGTGGAAGGAAAAAACAACATCCCGAACGGCCGGATAGGTTTTTCTCCTCTCGTTAATTGACGTCTCGAGAAACATAAATAAAACGGGCCGCGCGTTGTGGAAATTTCCGACAAAGAAAATGCGTTTTCTCTTTTTCTCTCTCATCCCCCGCCAGCCACTTTGTGCCGTAATTGCGCGAGCTATTAAGGAGAAATTAATGAGAAAGACAAAGGGGCCGCGGTGTTGACAAAGTCGTGAGTCTCGAGATAACCAAATTATCTTGCGCTTTCATCCTGACGCGACGTGAAAAGCAGTGCCAGGTAATTCACTTTGCGCAGTTTGAAGTTTGAGTTACGTCGTCGGGATGGAGGGAGCAAAAGCACGGTCGTCTCATTAACACGAGATGCGATGCTGCTCTCGCCCGAGGGACGCTTTAAAGTTGTGAGAAATGCTATTATCCGGCAGGGAGGAACATCGATCAACAATATAAGGGAAAACGTTTTTCTTTTTTTTTTCTTCATTTTTTGTGCATTTTTCGTGATATTGTACATACTTGCTCTTTTCCTCAATTTTCGACATTTTGCCAGAGAGAAAATGTTTTAAAATGTTGGCATTAGTAAGTAAAGTTTTCATTCTGGAGGAAAAAATCTCAATTTCTTAATATTATACCTGCTTGGAGCATTTTTATCTTACTTAGACGATCGAAAAACAAACACCTCCGGCAAGCAAACTACCCCCATTAGGAAAACTCCCCTTCTTCGCACACCATAAATTTACAGCTCGGCAGGGCGGTCATTATAATCTTGAGGATTCTCATTATCTTCATAATTCCATAATATATGAAAACACCTGCTTTCCTTAATTAATAATTAACCATAATTTTATGATATTTAAACGTAATTTTTATTTGATAATATATAAAAAAAATTTTTTTATAGAAATCGTTATATGAGAGAAAATGCATTTTGTCTTTGATATCAATTGTATTTTTTTATTATTATTCAATTTGTAGGCTTCCCACTCTCTTATAAAAACGCCACCTGCTTCCTAAATTGAGTCGTCCCCCTTTGTCTTGGGTTCGTTTCTCACGCGCTGCAGTCATTATCAGAAAATCAGCTGGATTATGGCCGCCGACAACTTAATTCGGTTCCGGTGCACCGTCTGCGAATCGGCATTTTGAAGATGGCGTCCAAACTCCGCCTTGACGATCAGAATAAATTTTCGCAGACAGCCCTCTCACTTCCTGTTGAGAAGCTCAGGAAACTTGATAGCCCCTCATGTCAGGGTGACCCCTCTTGTGTATACTCTTAAAGCTCAACTGCAACGATTTAACAGTGCTCTTTATGTGTTCTAATACAGCAGTTACTTTACCTTATTTGCTACCATGTTTTAATAATATTTATATTGAGACGGTAAAAAATTGAAGAAAAAATCTACATTTCATGGAGTTAACTTTTTATTATATATAATTAGCCATAACAACGATTAAATTTACTACACAGTATAATATGGAGGAAATTGGAAATTATTAATATTATTTTTGTGACTAGACTAATAATGAAGTCTAAATTTTATATCATTATAGATTATAGTATTAGCCTGATAGGAATGGGCATACTTTTTTTACGCATTGCTGCAATTTATTGGCCAAAATTTTAGTTACAATTGTGTTTATTAATGTACCACCAGGCATTCTCTGCCCAAATACATCATTTTACACCAAACACCAAAGAATATCACTCCTCTGATTACTATGAGAGGAGCGATATTATTTTTTTTATAATTTTATATCAATTTAAAAAAAAAAGTTAACAAGCAGATCTTGATGTTATCACTTTTTGAGAGTGTTGACATTTGCGTATGTTTCTTCATCGTCAAAGCTAGAGTAACTGTAACTAAGGTTTCCATAAGTATCTGCATTATTTGAATAGGTGGGTTCGTCACATTGGTTGTACTCATAAGATTCGCAAAATTTTGGTATGGGTGCCTTGAAAGTACTGGGGGCAGGCTGGTATGCTCCTGAGGGAGGCGGTTGGTATGTTTCTTCAGAGAAGCCACCACATGCTTCTTCATAAGCAAATTCCATTCCTTTATTTTGACGCTCTTGCGTAGGTAAGGTTTCCATTTGGATTTCCTCAGCATCTATGATTCTCTGTCCAGATACAACCCTGGACCTTTTTGTCGGCAATGATTTGGTCGACTCATCATCAGAGCGTGATTTGACGATGACGATGGTGATGAGAATCATGGTGATCAAGTGCATCACCACAAGGAAACCGGATATTAACCACCAGTGCGGTATTTCCTTCATCGGTAGTCCTGCTGAGTCGGACACTATTTAAATTTAATTGAAAATATAGTTCTCTTTTCAATTTCTCCTAGAACTTACCAAAATCTTTGTAGGTAGCGTTCATTTTCTCACTTTTCTTCTGTGGAATTAAAGCTAGGCTGTTGAAGTTGAACTGTGAATTGTGTGAATGTCTGGTATAAAAAAATGGTGTAAAGAAACCAACCTAATATGAGGAAGTGTTGATAGAGTTAATTAATTATCAGTTTTTTTATCGCGTAAAAACATGTTGTGACTGTTTTTAAGATTATTTTTAGTGCCTGTAGCTGAACTTAATACGAAATGTCGTATGTTTCAATGAGAGTGGAATAATTAATTAAATAAAGAATAAATTGGATAATATTCATATCATTTATGATTATTTTAAGTTGCCTAAATTTTCTTTTTTTTTTTTTAAATAACAAAGTTGCATGGTGTGTCTTGATACAAATTATTGCTTTAATAAATGCAATATGAATTTAACTTGCACCTACAGCATAAAAATAAATATTTATTTTTCCATTTTTATCACGACAGCTTTGGTTTGCATAAAGGAAGATAATAAATAGGTAGACATTGAAAAATTCAGAGGGCTTTAAATATTTGAATGATAAAATAGTTGTAAACATGTGCACTTAAAGCTTTTATGAAGATTTAAAAATGCGTGTTGTAGCAGCTGTTAAATTAACGCAACACCAGCACTATTCACTCTATTACTTTTGGTGAGCGAAATAATAATTTTTGATGAAAGCAAGCGCTTGCAATTTAGGTGGTGCGTGACAAGTACGGGCTGGACTATCTCTATTTTCATTAAAATCTTAAAATTTTTATGATGAGATTTTTAAGCAGATGTTTTAAAATTTTTAGATATTTCATGGAGATCAATTGACAATAAATTAATTTTAATTTTGATCTTTGGTCTCTCTAATTTTGGAAGCCTTTAACTGCAGGGCACTGTCCGGGTCTGATTACTGGCAGAAAAAGAAGAAGCCAGCTAGTCTTTCATGTACCCCCCTCGACGGTTACATTTCAGCAGCAGATGAAGAGAACGAAAAGTTGGAGCAAATCGCCGCCGGCTCCTCCGCTCTACGTACACTTAATTGAAATCCACACAAAAGGAATTGTTCTCGGCACAAAGCACATCAGAATAACCTTGCTGAACACGTACAAAAGTGAGTTTTGCGCCTCGCGATGATGATGAGATGTGCGCGAGGAGGCCGCAGAAAAGATATTCTCTGCGTTTTCGAATTTGCGTGCGAGGAAACTCTCGGTCGGAGAGCAGAGAAGTGTATTTTCTTTTCAATTTACTTTAGCCGGCTCTCTGAATTAACAAACAAATCATTACGCCACTCGTGAGAGAAAGAGATGGAGGCGCGTTTCTTTTTCTCCGCTCGCTTAATTGCTTATGTAAATTAATTCCTGCGCACTTTGTTTACTCTTAATTACAAAAACATCAGCGCAGCGAGATGAGACGAGGATGAGCTGCCGCGCTCGGGGGCTCACAAGGAAATCAATTTTTGTTCTTCTCTTCGCTCGCTCATCTCTCGAACTCGTTTTCAGGAATTTAATTTTTCACGTATACAGACTGAGCAGCTGCTGCTCTGCGGTTGCAGAATTTAAAATCAATTTTGATATTTTCCCTTTAAATTACTTTTAAAATCAGAATGTTGTTAAATATTCAATTAATTAAAAAAAAAACTTCTTTGTTTTTTGTGTCAATTTTCCAATTTCAATAGATAACAAAGAAAGACGATTACAAATAAGGGTGTGTTGATGTTGAAAGTGAACTTACATTAGAGTCAGCATTTTGCTGAAGTATTGAATTAAAATTTTCCACTCAAGTGACGGAGTGTCGCATGTTGGTCCCTACTTCTTCTACGAGATTCTTTTTTTCCTCCCCCGCCCCGAGTGATGATGTGCGCGTCGAACGCAATAAAATTTCGCACCCTCTTTGCACTCGGTCACCCCTTGTTATTTGTATCTGCAGATCCGCATAGCAGATTATACGGGCGCTGCAACTATACTAGTCGGTTTTCGTCCCCGGAGTCAGATTGTAGACGTAAAAAATTCTCTTTGCTGCTGATTCACTGACTCTGCGATTGGAATCTCTGCCATTGACTAGGCGAGCCAGTTAATATTTGGCACCACCTAGACGGGGCTGGAAATGAGTCAGCCTCATACGTTCAAGAACAGCTTGTAGTGGAGATTTTGCTAGTTTTTAATTCAGCAAAATTTATTCTAAATTCAATTCAATCTACTTATGATATTTTTTAAGGAAGTATTAAACTAAATTTTAAAAAAAATATATTTTGTTTAATAGCCTTATAAACTCTAACCTTTAATTTAGTTTGAAATAATGTTTTTACAGAATTCAAATTATTTATTTTAATTTATAATAAATTTCCTTTTTTCTAATTGATTTACAAAGATAACATGAAATTTGTTTACATTTATAAAATTAAATTGATAAGAAAAAGTGCTTCAAATGCTTCAAATATTAAATTGTAAATTTAAAAATCAACTGCATTACGTATTTTTATAAAGATTTGATTAATTAAAATTGTAAAACAAAGATTTTCAATTTTAGAGTATCTTGTGTATCAATACAATTTCCACAACTAGAGGATCATGTAGTCTACAGAGCAGCGCAAAACACCCCATGCCGGTGATATTGCGCTGCGCACCCGCGTCAAACCCAGCAACACATCCTCTGGCAATATGGTGCTGTTGGCCGACGAGATTCGCTTCGACGTGTGCATGCAAGGAGTCGATTTAATTGAACTCGCAGCGCTATCGATTTTTTTTTTCACCAATGTTCGACAGCAGCAGACTGCATTTTATACGCAGAGAGAAATATATATCCCGTGTCGAGTGAATAAATTACACTCCGGGATTATTCGCGTCGGATCTTTTTCCTAGCCGTGATTTGCACGCGCTGAGTGAAAGAGGGCATAGGAAAAGAAGTTTGCGCGGATTGGATCGTTTGAAACGTCATCGTTGAAACAATTTACGGCGTCCGCTGGGAGGATTTGAGTTTTATGTACGGGAAAATTGCAGAATGATGTTGGCTGCTGCGGAAGAGTGCAAACGGGACCGTGGGGGATCCGCTGCAACCGACTTTCATTTTGATTTTTATTTTGAATGCTTTTAAATTTGTAAAAGATTATATTTTAAGTGGATAATATGATAATTCTGAGCAAATCTTTGAAAAAAATAGTAATATAAATGGGACATAAGTGCCCTCATTTAAAACCCAATAAACATTTCTTGAATCGAAATAATTTAACATAAGAAAATCAGCTACTAGTAAGTCATTTTTCCAAAAACATAAATTCAATAATCAGATAAAAAAAATTTATTTTAAAGAAGAATATTACTTTCTTATTGACCTTATTGTTTTTATCGCAATAATTTTTTGGAATGGGAATGGAAAAAGTTTTAAAATTAATTTCTGTTTTAGAAAGCTTTTAATAGTTGCTCTCTGATGTTGCTAGGGTAAATTTTGCCGAGTTGAAGCGTGTAAAGTAGGCATCCCCTGTGTGCGAGAATGCACTCCGGTCGCGCGTGTTGCATAATCTCCGCTTTGTTTCACCGCTTTCTCTCCACACCAGTGTGTGTACCAAACGATGAAAATATTCGCCGAGGGAATACGAAAGCAATTACCGTCGCCCGCGGAAAGCTCCTCTTGATCCTTTCTCTATTATGCGCAACAATGCTGAAAAATGTAATTAAGAGCCACCCCCGTGCCTGCGCTATTCACCCCTTCCTCGACAGCGGGTATGTGTGTACACACGCGCGCAAGCGAAATGATGCGGCCGCACTCGAGTTGCCTCGCAAACAGACTCCATGACGGCGGATATGAAATATAAAATCATCTCCCACGAAAACGCTAGAGAGGGATGCAACCCCCCGAGACAAAGAGGACGGCAATTTCAGGCCCTGGTAATTAATTCAAGTTTCGTCCGAGTTGCTGCTGTGCATTATCATTTCCCGGCCGGCTCTTTTCGGCCATGCATTTTGCAAATCGTGCAAACACACGCGCCACAACGACTTTGATCTCGGCATATTAATATGAATATGGCCATTTCCGCCGGCGAAACTGTTGCCACAGAAGATAACATCCCTTGCATTTTCCAAACTTACAATGTCTTACAACTTGAACTAAAGTTGCATTGTACATATCAGCTTTTTTTAAATTATTTTGTTTATAATTATAAATTATGAATTCAAAAATATTAACTTGAAGCTGCTCCAGCTTTTTATGTTCTTAATAATAATTTACTAAATAAATAATTTTTCCAGCAGTTTTCCAGGCTATCCAGTTTATATTGGAAGTAGAGGTAGCACGCACTGTGCGTTATTATCATTGCTCTTGTATAAAAATATTTAAAAACAAACAAAATGTTATTATGCAACTGTAATATAAAAACAAAATACTACAAAACCTAAAGAATTTTCCCTCACAAAAAGCAGACAAAAAAAGTGTCACTGTCACTTTGCAGTAGTCTTCTCTCAATAACAAATAAGAAAAAAAAACATTTTAACATAATGCAATTTAATTAAAATTTCTGCAGAGACAATTTTTTAGTTTTTATTTTATTTGTCTGTTTTAATTTTTTTTAAAACAATTAAATTTTTTTCCAAATCATACATTATTAAAAATTATGCAATTTTCCAAGTCACTACTTTTTCATTACTTTCATTATTTGAACTGTGACCGCCGCCTGCACTGCCTACATAATATTGCATTAAGTAGATTCGGGATTTGTCTCTCTGCAAACTATAACAAACTACTAGAAGATAAAGCAACTTAAAGTCTTGTACATCGATTATACATTCAACAATTTGCCTTCCATTAACATAAATAAAACTAAATTTGAAATTGAACTGGGACCCTTTTTGAATAAATTTATTTTGCAGGAGATCAAATGATCCGACTGGGAGCTCCACGTGCTCCTTCTTTCTTGAATATATCTCGAGCCCATTCCATATTTGATTCGCACATTGGTGACGTGCTTTGCCTCTCGGTGCGTGGGCCTTTGTAGGCACTGAAAAGGTGGCAATTTATGCACCCCCTACTGCGCGTGCATCGCTCCAAATTGGCAACATTTTTCATGTGCGCGGAGGACCTCTATCCAAATTTATGCCGACACTACACCCG